TTTTACAGAAGTGAAGGCGCTGGACTCTCTAAATAAATTTAGGGCCCTGTATTTTAGATGCGGAGCATCTTATACTCGCGCCTTGTAGTGCGCCGTCCGCACCGCTTCTCGAACATTCGACAGCTGACGCGCGCGCATGCGCCGTCGCGCCGTCGCCCACTCTTCCACCATCTGTGCATCCCTTCCTCCTCTACACACCACGCGTGCTTCACTCCTCCACCATCTGCGCACCCTTCCTCCTCTACACACCGCGTTCGACATCTACAATTCTCCTGATTCTCCAGTGGACGCGCATGTGGCGTCGCGCTTCGAGAACATTCAACAGCTGACAGTGCATGCGCCGTCGTGCTGTATATATACTCAAGGTCGGCGCTCGCTCGCTCAGTTGCCGCTCGTCGGTTGATTTGTACGGCGCGTCGACGTCCAAGGTCGCGGTGAAATGAATTCCAACGAATCTACAAACACAATGATCGACGTCCCTTCGACCAGCGCCGCCCTTTCGCATACGTGTGTACGTGTTCCCTCATTTAACACCCCCTCCTACAACCACGTTAACCAATTTAGCCATCGACCCAAGTAAGTCGCAATTTAACACCCCATTTCACAACCACGTTAACCAATTTAGCCATCGACCCAAGTAAGTCGCACTTTAACACCCCGTTAACCAATTATATGGTCCGCATCCTCCTCAGTGTTCCCCCGAGGGAAGCTGCGGGCAATTTTTTTATTAGGGAAAGCACATAAGACAGGTGAATCTATACTTTTTTGTGCGTCTCTCTGTGTGTGTATTTTCTTTTTTTTACGGCGCTAATAAATAAAAACAACTTTTTGAAGGGCAGTTTGCTTCAATGAGGAGCGATTATTTTAGCGCAACCACCCGAAAAATTTTTCAGTCAGAACTAAGATATTCATTTTAAATGACATACAAAACAATCTCAAAAAGATTTTAATCGTGTGCCTTACGATCATTGAGCAGGCAACACGCCGAATGTTTCTGAAAAGAATCACGCAAGGCGTCTGTCACACGGGTCGCTGAGCACGCGAACGTACGTCCACGTCTTCGCCGGGCGAATATCAATAGCCAACAATGGGCCATGCGTTACCGCCATAAAGTTTACATCCGTGAAACCATACCGATCGAGCGAGGGACAGTAAAATTTAATTTCTTCTCAAAGTATCGATTCCGCGCTCATGGCATGGCCTTTGTTCGGGTCACTTCCATTTCGTGTTGTGGCTCCTCGACTGCGCTTCAAGCGCAGAGTAGACTGCTCATGGACTCGATACCAAACGTTGTGCAATAGCATAGAACAAAGGCGCAACGACCGTAGCCTAAGAGAGAAAAAGAAACACACAGAGAGAGAGAGAGAGAAAGAGAGAGAGAGAGATAATATTCCAGTAATATTTACGGCACTGAAAATAGCCACAAGACAATGGCGTCCTTCCTGTACAATACCTTACAGCAAAGACACAATGACGACAGATAGATAGATAGATAGATAGATAGATAGATAGATAGATAGATAGATAGATAGATAGATAGATAGATAGATAGATAGAGAGGCAGGCAGGCAGGAAGATGGCTACTTCCTTAGGCTTTACTGCATTGCAGCTGGTCACAAAAGAAACGTAAAAAAGGCAGAAGTCCAGAAAAAATTGAATGCTTGAATACAGTTGTATTGGGGAAGGGGGCTTGCTAGTATGGCAGCGAAACTAATCTAATACTGCGCAGGGGAAAGGAACACGAGTAGAAGTAGTAGACAGGAAGAGCGCAACACTCAGCGCTCGTCCTGTCTGCACCTTTACTTGCGTTCCATTCCCTGTCCTGTTTTATTATAGTTTCAATAAATATTACATCTCTCAGACCTAGCGTTTTTCCAACACGAGTGGACCATTACTTGCTTTCCTCGATGTGTAACCGATGTCCGTTAACTGTGGTTCAACCAAACAAACAAGAGCCTCTACGTTGACGATAAAAAAATACTATTCCATTATTTGTACACAACGCATCTTGCCAAGTTGATGCAGTTGTAATCCATTAAAAGCCCCATCAGGACGGCGACCATAAAGAAGTACCAGACGCTCGAACATGTCAGCGCCGGTTGTTTAGGCCACGTATATGAGGCGGAAACTATTGCAATGATATTCGAAACAGAACGCCACCAGGCTCAACACCAGAGAGTTAGGGGAGAAAAGGAGGAGAAAAAAAAACAAAACGAAATACAAGGACTCTAACGAGACGCTCGTTTGATTATCTGCCTCGTTCGCGGGCAAATAGATGCAGGGATGAAAAGGAAGAGATAGAGGAGATAGGAATGTTCTATTAGCACGGAACGTGCGTGTTTGTCCTGTACATGCCTAGAGTTGATTGCTAAGGTAAACTGATTTGAGAAAATGTAAGCAACGCCATGATTAGGAGCATTCTTCCTCAAAAAAATTGTTGAAAGGTCAGAAGAGTGAAAAAGCAAAATCATTCAGACCTATAGGGTATGCTTTCAAAACTCTAGTGCGTTTAATTTCATCACCAAAGGCTCATTTATATAAAAAATAATCGATGGCAAAAACTTCACTTCCAAACTTCTTACCGAAACCACTGATAGTGGCGCTACTGATTTCAAAATATTTTTCTAGCGTATTGACCTCGTTTGCTGAGTGGAATGTACTCAATCCTTGTATGATAGGTCTCTGGCTTTTTCGACATTACAGTTAATTTTTAATTAATAAGGATAGCGTATACACTTTAGTAGACACCGTCACAACCAATGGGGTCATAGCAACTGGCAAGGGATCTTGTGTGTGGCGTCACCACCTGCGTCGTTTTCTTTTGCGCGTATTCTCGCTTAGCGAGCGTCTACTTGCTGCAGGAAGGGAGGTGCGTTTGATATATAGGCGCAGTAATATACAGCATTTCTGACGTATATATGAAATCTAACAAGCAACAATGCCAAGGAATGTTTAGAGGAAGTTATTAGACCCCAATGTAATGTAAATGTGAAGAAAGAAAAGTGGGTGAAAAGATTACTTGCCGTGAGCGAGAAGAACCCAACCTGCAACTTTCGAATAACGCGTTCGATGCTTTACCAGTGAGCTACCGCGGCGGCCATCCCCCCAGCCACTTTATTGGGTTTATATGTGATACTCCCATGGAAAAACGAGCCCCATTAAGTGTACAGTTCTTTCCACACACACACACACACACACACACACACACACACACACACACACACACACACACACACACACACACACACACACACACACACACACACACACACACACACACACACACATATATATATATATATATATATATATATATATATATATATATATATATATATATATATATAGGCAGGCATGGTGGTTGAGTGGCCGTAGCGTTGCATATAGTCCAGTAGATCCTCCGTGGGCGGTCACAACGTGGTTTATTTCGACGTTTCGGCCTAGAGTCTGGCCTTCATCAGGATCCTGATGAAGGCCAGACTCTAGGGCCGAAACGTCGAAATAAACCACGTTGTGACCGCTCACGGAGGATCTACTGGATTATATATATATATATATATATATATATATATATATATATATATATATATATATATATATATATATATATATATATATATATATATATATATATATATATAATGTCCAGCCACAATCACAACTAGCTTTGTAGAGGGTGCTCTGCCGCACTACTACCCTTAGTGCGGCAAAGCTTCTTAAGAAGCTGAAGGGAGGGGAGTGGTTTTCAATTAAAGGGCATTCATTACTCCCTCTGTCTCGCAAACTAACCCACACACAAAAAAAGCACTAAAGTAGAGATAATAATTTAAGAGAAAGAGTGTTGAATATTTAGAATGGAAGGAAAGGAGGAGAGATTGACTTCGATAATATTGTTTTATAACAACCGGAAAAACAAGTTTAAAGTCAAGCTAAAGAATATTTTTTGATGCGCATGAAATTTCTAACCCAGATTAAAAACAATTACTTAGTGACTTCGTCAGGGCTTCTTTTACTAACAAAATCTAGAAAGAACCTAAAGGGGTAACAAACATAAATACAAAAGCTGCTTATCTTCTTAGCCGGTAATGTCAAATGTGTGTTCTAGTCGCAACCTTATCTGAAAACTTCACAAATGGTAATATTTGTATTATGCCCTGAGATATTGGGAAGCCATCTTGGCTCCATACGAATTATTATTTGCCCCTCCGATATTGCAAGTATAACAGCGGACATCGCGTCGAGATCTGTCTTGTTCACGACTGGGATCCACCCTTCATTGTTCTTTTCCTCTAATGAGGCTCTATTACTTTCTGCATGACTGAACAAAATGTATAGAGCTTAACGAAGTAGTGATAGATTGACATTGGTTTCATCTATTGGCTGCCATATAAAAGTCTATATATACGAACAAATAATTGGATCCGGCTGAAGGCAACAAAAGGCCTCAAACATATATAAAACATTTCGTTTGCTATTAGTTGTAGCATATTTTAAACTATACTATACTATACTATACTATACTATACTATACTATACTATACTATACTATACTATACTATACTATACTATACTATACTCTGCCTCGTAAAACGAGAGCACGTAAGAACACAGCAAATTTAGCTCGTTTCTTGTAATAGGTGTCACACTAAGGAGCTGTAATCTAATATATTACTATATATATAAAAAAAAAGAAATGCTACATCTAAGTCAAAGGCACTCTGCTTAGTGTTGTAATGATGATTCATGCTGGCTGTAAAACGGAAAGCGTTCGCTGACTGTATATTCTCTATTTTCTGACATATTACCTCGCGTAAATCAGAGCTTTACATTATGTGAATGGCTGGGCTCTTTTACCGACAGGTTGTTTCATTAGAGTACGAGTAATATTTTATTCCAACATATACAGCTGCGCTAAAATAACGTAAATGATAAAGCGATCTAAACTTTGAGGCATACGTATCTTCATTCTTTTTTTCGCATGTGAACTACCCACAACGCAGCTTGTGGATCTGCACGTGTACATTGTTCCCGAGGAAAGATGGCTGCGAAAGCGGAAGTTGGCTCGGAACCACGTGGTGGACTACGCCATATCCGCCGGATTCATACGGTACGTCATTATTGGCGCGTTAGAGAAGTTGACTTTTAGAGCGTTACAGACGTATTGACGGGATTTTTTACCATAGTTTGTGAAATCGCAAAGTAATTTCAGTCACGATAAAAAATGTAAAAAAATCGCATTTTTCACTATGTCGCGCAAGGCAGGGTCTCCACAGCGCTGATGGGCACAAGGTTGGTTCTTGATTGGCTAAGCTTACAGCAAATCGGCTTTCTCTTTCCCATTTCTCGCTATACTATGTTACACAAGGTTATCATTCCCATACGAATAACATAACTTGGTTATAATTGCTCTATTTTTAAATATTTTCTTTGTTTGTGTCTTCCTCCGTCAGAAAATTTTTTTGTAAATATTTTGATAGCTTTGTATCTTTTGCCTCATTCTTTCGCTCTTGTTTTCTGTTTCTTCTGATTTATTTCTGTCGAGGAAACTTGTCAATCTCGATTATAGCTGCTCCGCTGTAAAGCTCCCATAGCGTTTGTGGGCAACAGCCGTTGGGCAAATGTTACTGCTCACTGTACTGGTCGACAGGATATTAACAAGCGATCACATGGGCGGCGTTAACCAATCAGCACCTAGCAGTTTTCACATTTCTTCAAACAAATACTAATAGCGTTAACTTGTACATGCTCTGTTAAGCTTATATCTATCTCTATTAGTTTCAAATCGCTGAGAGTACTTCTTACGATACTAACAGTCAGAAATATCATGTCATAGTTGTTTTAACCGTTCGGAGATTTGTAGACATTCCTGTTTTACTTTTCAATCCCGAAATTTTATTGTGCCTTCTGGAGCTGCTGTTCACAAGAAATATGAACAGTGATTGTGGCAAATACCATGAGGGATGCGTTAACTTGCTCAATTAACATATATAGGTACTCGGTACGAGCACAGCTAGCGTACAGAATAAAAGTTAATGTTGGTTAAGGTGTTGCATGGTTCTCGTCCAGTGTTGCTTTGCTCCGAAGGAAAATGCTCTTCGCGACCGAAACACACACACACACACACACACACACACACACACACACACACACACACACACACACACACACACACACACACACACACACACACACACACACACACACACACACACACACACACACACACACGCACACACACACACACACGCGCGCACACACACACACACACACACACACACGCGCGCGCAGGTTACATTAGGGAGTGTGCATGACTGCTCCTACTTTCACAAATCTGTCTCCCTCTTGCGAGCTTTCCTAGAAGCTGACTTCAATATCGGTGGCCACCACGTGCGCTGCCGCCGTTGGAAAACCCTTTTTCATCGTGGCCTTTAAGACACGGGTACGGCACATATCGATCGTCTCTGAGGCCACGGCTTCAATCGTTTAGTTGGTTGCTCTTCCGACAGATAGCGGGCCGTATGCATTTTGGCGGCTCGACTGATATAAAGGCAACGACCGCGGAAAACAATATAACAGAAAAAAATATCCAGCGAACACGCAAAGTGGTGTACCCGCCCAGGCGGGCAATTTATGCGGCGCAAAAAATTAGCGTCCACGGCAGAGACCAGGTTGCGGAAAGCGCCTCCCTTTTCTACTACAACAGTTTCGTGCATTTTGACGGAGTTTCCTTTCACTTAAAAAAATATTGTGACCGTTGACCGAGGGCTGCATTTAAATACGTCAGCTGGTTCTGCGTTGAAAGAGGCGTTCAAAAGGCTGCGGATAATGCAGCGTGGGACGTGATCTCCGCGGCAATGCGCTCGCAGGGCATGAAAGGTCAGTGACCCTAGATGGGATGCTGTGCATTGCTTTATATGCTCCTAATCAGGGGCATTCGGCAGTCATTCACCTTCAGTTAAGTGCCTTGTTTTCTATTTCGTTAGCACATGTAACTTCTACAACGTCGTTTATTCCTCTTTAGTATCTTGCTAAGATATTAATGACAACCAAGAATGATACCAAAGAAAGTATAAGGGATGCGACTGGAAGTAATTTTCAATGTAAATGTGAAGGAAGAAAATTGGATGAAGTGATAATTTGCCACTGGCAGAGAACAGTCCTAGCTAGTGGAAAGTTATCTTTGCGTACACTTTTCTTTCTTCTCATTTATATTAATTGCAACCACTTCTAATAGCATCTCCCATACTTTTCTTGACATGGTCATGTATTAGTTCTCATAATATTGCTTAAAAAAGAGCGGCCCCTTAAATTTACGTGTCTTGTTAAGAAACAATTGAAAGGATGCACAGTAAAAGAAAAAAAAAGGTTTGTTGTACAAGTGCGTAAGAAAGTAAATGGGAACTCTCTAACGAGCTTGACAACGCGCTTTTAAAAAGGTGACTGTTATCGAGGCCTAGCGATGGACCTGACCTCACCATAAATGTAGTGTGGAGTCCATATGGCAAACGAAGCAATTTTATTTCCCCCTCACTTCCGTTCTCGAAATGTTTCTTTTTCGGTGCACGAATGATTGAATGTCCCTCTGCGGGATGCGTACTAAGCAGTACTGATTGTATTTATTCTTCTCTTTTGTAATAAAGATGTCAGTAGCTAGTTGAGCGCGTGTCTTGTGTACGCCTTGTTTTGTGTGTCGTCTTCATGCGCTCAATTTCGCATTGCGAATGTCCCTCGTTTCGCTTCCTTGTGTAGACTGTTTCTGTGTAATTGCAGGTTTGAGAAATAAATAGTAACTCTTCTCTGTAACGTCTAAATAGCACCAAAGAGAGAGAGAGAGAGAAAAAGGGAGAGCTACCATGAATTGTGTAATCAGTTTCTGTTCCCATTCAGTCCACTCCAATACGCTGTTTTTGGACCTTCTTACGTTATTCAAGCATTCTAGCTTTTTTTTCTAATCTTTTTTATGCAATCTCGTCTTCTTTTTTCCTCATTACCTTTTAATCATCTTTCCTCATCGCCAGTGCATGGTAGGAAACCGGAAATTCTCTTTCGGTTAACCACCCTGACTTTCACTGGACCTTTCTCTTTCTTTTACGCTTATGTTAACTTTTGCTTACACTACTACAAAAGGGAATAAAACGCTAACATAGCTGAATCTCTAGGCCAGAATTTCAGGCGCAAGCTGTGTTAGGGCGTCCCGTGATGCTCGTACCTAGAGTAACTGGGAGATCTTATCATCCAACTTACCCGCTTAATGAGTGTCGAAAAAAAAAATTCCGAGATCTCTACTTCCACATTCTTCGACATTTGGCTATAACGAAATGCATAGGGCCTGTTGCAAAAAAATTCTATAATGTTATGAATGTAATCAGAAAATTGTCCTGTGGAATAAATAAATCCCCGCACACCTACTTCAGGCGTAACAATGCGTTCGATCGATGACAGTGCTTTTCCCTGGACAGAGTTCTGCCCACTGCCCGCCTGGCGGACGTGCGGAGGGAGATCGACCGGCAGCTGGGCCACGACGTGGTTCCCAAGGAGTACGTCTTCCTTCGCAGCGTCGGAAGGAACTTCACCCAGGTACGTCAGTTTGGGTTAACGGGAAAATACACACTAACCCATATATTACGTAGTACCGATATGCAAAGATGTGCTCCTGTAAGTTCGGCACGTTTTTTTTAATATGGGAAATGGCATACTGATAACCTTTTCAAAGGTAAACATATTACACACCAGAGATCTGCCTGGGTGGGATATCTTGAAAAGGAGACTTGATTGGTCCCGAAACGTAGGGCTAGTTTTAGGGGTGAAGCTCCTTAAGGCGTGGGTAGGTACATCTACTGATGTATGTAGTTGTAGTAGTAACTAGCTACCTGTAGTTTAGTTACTGCAGCGTTCACTAGATCGCAGCACTTGTAGTTGATAAAAATATGCGAAATGTTACAAAACTAGATGGTGGTACTTGAACTGTTCACTAGATGGCGCTGCTTGTAGTTGATGAAGATGTGCGAGATGGTATAAAATTAGATTGCGATATTTGTAGTTGACGATGAAAGATGTGACATGTTATAATAGAAACTATGTCACATATGACACGTGTCATTGGTAGAAGGCAATCGTTCAATTTAGTGCGGCGACGTTCGCTAGGGGAAGCGTTGTAATAAAATTCGTTCGCTGCTGGCGTGTGCGCGTGCACGAAGTCACCGGATGGACAAGGCTGCAGAGCGGCGAGTGCGCCAGGCGGCGCCAGTGCGCACTCGCAGACAGAATCCCGATGTGCGAGCCCGCGAGGCAGAAGCGCGCCGTGAAGCTGCGCAACGCCGCCTCCAAGATCCTGTTGTACGACAGCGGGAGGCCCAAGCGGCACGGCATACACACACACCGTTTCTCACGTCTTGAAATTATGATCGACTGAGCGAATTACAAGGAAGATTCACGGTTTGCCGATGATTCCTTCCGGAGCTTCGCCCACTACACATCATTCACCCCATGGATGCTGTGATTTTGAAATTGGTTGGTAACAACTTCATTGTAGTTCTGAAAAGTGAAACATTTCTCTGCGTACCGCAAGCACATATGCACTTTTGGTATCTATCTATCTATCTATCTATCTATCTATCTATCTATCTATCTATCTATCTATCTATCTATCTATCTATCTATCTATCTATCTATCTATCTATCTATCTATCTATCTATCTATCTATCTATCTATCTATCTATCTATCTATCTATCTATCTATCTATCTATCTATCTATCTATCTATCTATCTATCTATCTATCTATCTATCTATCTATCTATCTATCTATCTATCTATCTATCTATCTATCTATCTATCTATCTATCTATCTATCTATCTATCTATCTATCTATCTATCTATCTATCTTATCTATCTATCTATCTATCTATCTATCTATCTATCTATCTATCTATCTATCTATCTATCTATCTATCTATCTATCTATCTATCTATCTATCTATCTATCTATCTATCTATCTATCTGCCTATGTCTGGGTGCTCTCATGATCACCCCCTCAATTTGGGGCGCACCAAAATTAGTACGTGATTGTAAGATAGTTTGATGAATACGACGCGCTGGTCATGAAATAAATAACGTGACGAACGTGTGTAGGCGGGCGCTCAATGTGGTAACGTGCAAGAAGATTGCAAAAAATGAAAGAGCGTTCAATATGATGGCCAAATTTTGGGACGTGTGCTGAATTCTGAATTTTACAAGAAATAGTACGAAGGACGTCAAGAGACTCACGTATCTTGAAGGTGCTAGAAATTCTAGACACGGCACTGAAATTTACACAAGCATAAAAACATAAAAACAACAAGAGGAAAAGCAAAAGTAAAAAAAAGAAAGCAAGACCAAGTCGTTCAGAAAGTGTCGTCGCACTACTTCTCTGAACTTAAGCATTCTGAGAGAAGTTTTGATGGTGCGATTTCGCGAACCTCGAGGGGGATTTAGGAGCACGTCGAGCGTGGAGCCGCGTCATAGCCGATGTTGGCCTTCGACCTTATTTTTCGAGGGGCTGTTTACCTATGCGATAGGCACTGCTCAAAATTCGCTGTTCTATATGCAAGACGTGCATGCAGCGTTCAGCCAGGAATGCCGGAAGCATGCGAGGAATGGAGCTTACAGTCAACGAAAGCTGCCATCAACGTCTAATACTGAGAATTTATCTTACCAATCCCGCAAAACCCAAGAATAGTAATAGAAAGCCTGCAGAGCACCTCTACATAGTTTTAATGAATTGTTGCCAAGTTAAAGAGATAACATTGTTCAAAACTTTTCTTCACACAATATAAGGCAAAACGCAGGTTCAACCGCAGTATTGCTAAAGTATAAATGCGGACGTTCACATAGATGTATATAACGCTTACATGCATGTATATCATCCTGTTAACACGCCCGTATAACAGCCTCGCAAACATTTATCTCGCTCGTGTTGTTGCCGATTTTTTCTGTGTGTATTTTTTATGTGCACTGAGTTAAAAAAAAAAGGGTAAGGGCAAGCTCATGGCCGCAACGCACATGCTCACAAAACGTTATTTCTTTATTTTTTTGCAATGTCGTTCGATGATAGGGTGCTTACAGAAAAGTAGTTGGGGAACACCCTTGTTAAAGAATCTGGCGACGGAGCGCACTGAATTGGAAGCAAAAAAATTTAGGGCTAAGTAACGCACATACTTTCGCTCCCACCTCTTAACTTCGACTCTAACGCGTAGATAAGAGCCACCATTATCATTAGAGACCAGAGTAACCTCGACTTGACGTGTTTATTACGAGTAATGGTGCATGCCAGTCATTACGCTGTAAAATTTGACGTCGCGTTTGAATGCATGAGCATTGTTGGAACGCGGAAAAGAATGACGTCTGGGAGGTAGGTGAAGTCCGTAAAGGTCAGCCTAGCGTAAAGGCTGCCTAAATCGAGTGCTTTTACGAAAACAACAGAAAACACAGAGAGAAAGGGGTAAACACAAAAGTTGTATGAACTACAATGCCCTATAAAGTTTTCTAAAAATTAACCAGAGGGAACTTCAGCGCTGCGATCATTCAGCAACCATGAGAATGATGGGTGGTACGCGGATTCGCCTAGTGTTCGTGCTTGAGGGCTTCGAAAGCACTTACGACCTTGTTTGTTGTTGTGTTTTCGTTTTGTTTCGAATCGGACCGTTGTCAACTTCGTGAGCCAGCGGTTAGAATGGGTGAGCCTAAGAAGGTAAAGGTGGTGAGGCGTAGCTGCTCAACCTTTGCCGAATTCAGGCCCCACTAAGCCAAACAGAGCCGAAAGACCAAAGATTAGACAAATCCATGTACCACACATCATTGCCGTGCTAGCTACAGCGTCATACGTTGCAGACGGCTACAGCGACACTAGCGCCAGAGTTTTCTCTAGTGTATATTTAAGAAACTGTATGCAATGCCCGACCGAACAAGATTCAGAAGATAGAGGGTCGTAAAGATCAGCAACTCTTGAGTATGGGATGTCACCGGAGTCAATGTCTCGACAAGTGCTTTTGCATGACGTGCTGCTTTATCCGTAATCTGTACTCATACGTCAATGAAGCGTAACCTTTTTATATAGGTGCCATGATACAATCAAATAAGATAACTTCAATTGCGAGAAAATTGAGACAATGTTCTCGAAATTAGAAAGAGCATTGATAGCTAATATTCGTGAAATACTTTGAGAGTGCTTGTTATTGCACCAGTTGGTATAGCATACTGTATATTTGGAATTCCTTGAAACACCAGGAAATAGTAAGGTACACATAAACCACAGTAGAAAGTGCTCTAGCAACTGAAGTTTATTTGAGAATCCTTCTTTAATGTTTAGGAAAAGCTTATTTACACTATGTACCGAGAACAAAGATTTCATAACATTTCAGTAATAAGGGAACATACACTTTGGCACATCTATGTACCAAGACAAACATCACAACATTGCAATGATGACACCATTGCCCTCACATACATGACAACGTTGACATACATGTACACAAGAACTTAATGTGATATTATAATACAATGAATGGTATAACGAGTTATACATGTGAACTTCAGTGGAATGATGTATGGTATCCTTAATTATACTATGTACTTCACTAGGTTCAAGTTCGCATGTATAAATCCACGAAGGATGCTCAAGCGAACTTCACTTGCTGGAGTACTTTCATTTGAGGTTTATGTGTGCCTTACTGCGTCGTTGATTTTCAAGTGCATCCAAAAGATACAGCATTTTTTCAATCTTAATTAAAATTGAACAAAAAAGTGCACATTAATCAAATTAAACTTGAAATTGAAATTGAAATTTTTATTCCGCAACAAGAACACATTACGAGAAGGGCAAGCAAAAGCTGGGAGAACAGCTCGAGTAGCCCTGACCCCTTAGTACACAGGGTAGCGCAGAAGACGTGCGGCTAAGGACAACCAAAATAAAAGAGGGTTTCACAATTTTCATTAAAAAACAAAAACAAAAATGAAATATTATTATACAGACATAATAAAGTTAGTCGCCAGAACACATCTTTATATATACAATAATGGCAATTGTTTTGGTGATGCGCTGATTACGTCAATGTTGTGTTCACTAGTTATGTAGTCTATAGGTGCAAACAGTTGAAACTTTAACATTTTATTTCTGTATCTCGTTTTACATTTTGATGTGTGCCACATTACATGTTGACGTAAATTATAAACAGGAAAATATTTCTCTAATCTAGCTATTCTAGCAATCGTACCATTATTTTTCAGTAAGACGAACTTAAACGACTTTGTTTGTAGTAATATATTGATGCAACCTGAATTATGCAGTATTTTCGAAGCAACTATGCTGTGTGGCAGCATTATGGTAATTTACAGGCAAGCCGTAAAGCTTGATTTCACAAGATTTTTTTTGGAAGTGGGGCTATAAAAATGTCCACCGCAAATCGTTAAGACTGCGAACTTATTTCTGGCTTGGTTTGTACAAACCTAACAAGTGATGAGTGATTGACACAACATTTTTTTTAGG